ATATATATATATATATATATATATATATATATATATATATATATATTATATGAAAATACATCGTTTACATTGACATACTATTTATTTAACTTATTAAAATTTTTTAACTTTAAATGTGATAATTTGGCTCTTACAGTAGGATCCATTTTTGAACTACAACATGTTACAAAAAATTTGTTGTTTACAATAATGATGTCATTGCTGCCTAGTATTGTAAAATAAAAATATACCGCAAGAATGCAATAATGAATGTACTTGTAAAACCACAGTCATGTATATCACCATATATTGCAATAGGGATATTTAAAGGTTTTCTTGTAAGACCTTATAAATTATGCACTAGTGATTTTATAGAAAAATAAATAAAAAAAAATAAAGTTCCTAATTAATATTTTTATGGAAAATGGATATTCTCGCAAAAAACATCTAGAAGTTTAACTATTCATTTTTAAAAGTAATCTAACTTTATATATGTTTCTAAAAAGAAACACCTTTAAAAAATGTTTATCTGATGCTGCCTAAAAAAAAGCTCAAAAAATGTGGCACAGAATTTTAGCACAAAATTCTGTTCTGTAAAATACGATTTCTGCATACCTAATTATATTGTTATAAATTAATAAATATGAATATGTAATAACTTAATTTTCTGGTTTGTTTTATACTGCTCTTAAATAGACTACAAGGTTAAAAGAGAAAGTGTAACAATAGAACTGAAGGGGGGAAAAAAAAAACAGCAAGTTTGCATATTTTTTATATAAGGTGCGTTTGTCTGAAGTTTAGAGTATTATCTTTAGTTTGAAGAACAGACGCATACTTAAAGGTTAAAAGATATGTACATGAATCTATTATTTTATAATGTATGGAAAAATATAAGAAACTACTGTTTCTTATATTTTTCCATCTGATGCAATTATGACCTGTCATCAAGTATTTTATTAAGTTTATTAGTGAAATTTTGTGATTGATGATTTTTATTTAAGCTGATTGTTTAATATGATTTGGTGTCAATATAATGTTCAATAGAGATTTTTTAATTACATTTTATTTAAAAAAAAAATCTTCCCATATATGAGCAAAAAATTTCCTACTTCTGTTTGGAAATAAAAATTTGTTTTGCATACTTTGCAGTTGGATTAAGAAAAAAATTTAACATAAAGTGCAATAAGGCTTGAAGTGATAGAATGTGAAATTATTTGATTTTTTTTTCATATACTGTTACACATAATAATGCTATAGTAGAAATGTTTTTAATAATATGAATTCTGTTAAAATTAGTGTATAAAATAAACTTAATATAGACTTAGATATTGCAAAAATTAAATTGAAATCTGTGTTTTAAGTAAACAATTTGACATCGAATTGTTTACTTTTATTTAAAATGTTTTATAAATTTGCTTTAGTGTATAGATGCAAATTGCTAGAGCAGATAAACAAGCTCATTATTGGCTGTACTTATTAAATAAAATTTTATTAATTTCATTAAGAAAAATACTTTTTTAACATAAAGTATTTATATATTATATTTTGTGCTCCTTTACTCCATATTTTTGTTTGAATTTCTAAAAAAGTTAAAGTGTATGTTTTTAAAGTCATTTTTTTCTATTTTTCATTTTGGAGGAAAAAAAAAAACTTGCTCTTGTTTTTAATCTCTTTTTATTTTATAATTTTTAATTGCATTTAATTTTATAACTTTCTTTTCATTTTTTCTTTTATAACAACACCTAATTGACTTGATTATTTTATAACAACAAATAATTGACTTGATTATTTTACAACCTCGCCTAATTGACTTGGTTAATAAAAGCAGTCAATATAACTCTTCATAATTCATTTCAATCAAACACTTTAAAAAATAAGTATTCAAGCAATTAAAAAGTTTAAAAAAAAAATTTCTAGTCAATAAAAACAACAATTATAATGAATTGCTTACCGTAACACTTACTTTATGCCTTTGCCTTTGGTTACTTTATGCCTTGTGGTCCTACTTTAATCCAATACAGAAAATTTGAGTTTCATGCTTCTCCTGTTCAAATGTTCAAAAAGTGGCGGGTTTTTTTTCTATTGGTTAATTTAAATACGACTGACACTGTTAAAAAACCACATTGCCTTTTCTGCACACTAAATAATCTAACTTTGAAATAGATGTCAAAAAGTAACTGAAATTGCTAGTGAAATTGACTTTTGAACTTTTGTTAGGTTTGTTATTATCGCACACACTACAGAGATAAAACATCTCTGTGTTTGCTAGACTAACACCTTAGTTAAAAGATTTGAATATTTTTTTAGTTATTTTTTAATTTAGTTTCAAGAAAAAAATACCTAATCACATTTAAGTTAGTTTTTATGTAAAAATAGGGTTACTTTAATCCGGACTTAAAGTAACCCCATATCATTTACTAAATCTCCAATCATTTTATTTATATGAAATTGATATACATTTATTTATTTATTTTGGTGATATGATGGGTGATTGATTTATTTCTTTATTTAATTTATTATTATCATTATTATTATAACAAATGTAATAAAATTAAAGTAATTAACGTATAATATATTATATATTAATAATATATATAATATGATGTGTTAATGACTTTTTTGTTGTTGTTTGTCTGTTTTTGAAATATTTTAGTTTGCTTTGAATTAGTTTTTGCTTACTATTTGCACTGTCCTTTTACAAAAATCAATATTCGTTGCCCTTCAAAAAGGTTCCTTTGCATTTTCTATTCATAAAAATAGTATTGTGTTCTATTATATTGTAAACAGTATTTTTGTTGTTGGTAAAATATATTGATTAATTTATACTTTATCTTATAAAAGATGCCAAGAATGTATTCTAGGAGACCCGGCTCCAAAAAATATGTAGATTATTCTCAAGAAAAGCTCCAACAGTACTTTAATGCTATTAATGAAGGCTGAATGAGTCAAAGAGTAGCATCTAAACATTTCTGCATATCTAGAATGACCATTCAAAGTAAACTAAAGCTAAAACACAATCAAAAACCAGGACATCCTACAACATTTACTGCTTTGAAAAAATCTTCTTTTGTTTCTCACATCTTGGCAGTGTCTGAGTTTGGATTTCCTGTTGATGAATTGGATTTTAGATTTATTGTCAAGGTTTACCTCTCTTCCCAAAACAAAACTATTCCACAGTTTAGAAACAATTTTCCAGGACTTGAATGGAGTAAATTATTTTTAAAAAGACACCTTTTGCTTACTTTGAAGTTGGCGGCTAATATAAAATGTTATCGGGCTGCTGTTAACAAAAAAACCTTAAGCAAGTTTATTGAAAACTTCAGCCAAGTTGTTACAAATGTGCAGAAAATGTATACAACTATACAACTATGATGAAACAAACTTAAGTGATGACCCAGGCCGCAAAAAAATTATGTGTCCTAGAGGCTGTAAATACCCTGAAAGAGTGATGAACTCATCAAAGTCCAATATTTCAGTCATGTTTTGTGGCAACGCTGCTGGATGTACAATACCACTTTACGTTGTCAAAATTATTTTGACAACATAAAGTGTTATTTGTTGACCACGTCAACAAATACCACTTTGACCACAGATTTTCTACAAATCAGAAAATCTGTGGTCAACGTGGACTGAAAACGGTACCCCTGAAATCAATAAAAGACACTTCTAGTGAAAATCTAGTGTTATAAAGAATCTCTAAATAATCGTTTGTCACTACAGGATCGATCATCTATTGATCTAAGCCTTATTTCTAAAGCATTTATCAGTCATTTAAATGACAATCATGCAGACCTTGTACCTTCAATTTCAAAGCGCAAAAAGAAACTAAATGTTCCACCAGGAAAAGGAATCTGTCCTGACTCAGAAGAATCAGAAGTTGTACCAGTCAAAAATGCCCTAGAAGCGCCCCAGAAACGAAAAAAATTTAATTGTGATATCTCTAGTGCTGCGTCAAACAGTCAATATAACTCTAGGCTGTGGGCTTTTAAATCTGATTGAAACAATTATTTTTAAACATTAAATGTTTATATGTAGTAGTTACTTACCTACCAATTTAGTTATTGTTTTATTATAACAGAACAAAAAAAAGATTAATAAAATATATAAAGTTTTCTGTATAATTTCTATTTTTTTTTTTGCTTTAAATAGATCCAAAGACAATTGTTTTAACAATATAGAAGTATCTCTTCAAATAAATGTTAAGTATTTGTTTTAACATTATGGAGGTATTCACCTAAGTAATTTGTAAGTAAATATAACAAAACAGCACAACAAGTATACAAGGCTTAAAGAAACACCAACTTAGGGTTACATTATGCTACATTTTGAAAAACTAAAAAGTATATCCGTTTTTAACTTATTTTATAAATCAATAAGTTCAAATTAAAAGTTGATATCTTTAAAAATATTTTGAATAAAAAAAAATGAAAGAAAATTTTGAATAGAGCAAAATTGATCGTTATAACCAAAAATTGCAATAAAGTGGATTAAAGTAACCCCGTGTTATGGTACCTTTTTGATTTAGATATAAAGTTTTTACATTAAATTAATTAAATTTAGATAACCTTCTAGACATTTTCTCCTGGTCACAATCCTTTTTAAAACTACTTATAAATGATTTTATTTTTACATATATGTACACAACAGTCAAACACTTAAATAGTGAAATAAGAGGTTGCACAGGTTCCTAGCAAATTTAAAAAATATTAAATAGTTTTGCACTACTACCAGACTAAGGAGGATAAGCAATAGTTGGTTGCTTGGTGTGTAACAGATCTTTAATGCAAAGTTGTTATTTATCAAAAAAAAAATTCTTTTAATGTCTGATTTTTTTAGTTTTCTCAAAATTATCTTGCAACTCGAAAAAAAAAAAAAGTTAAGTAGTTTACATTTCCTCATCAAGTTTTGCTCATCAACATTTTTCTTTTTTTTTAATAAACAGGTAAGTTTAAAAAATATTTTTTATTGTTGTTTCTTAGGTATTATTAATAATTAGAGTAACAAATAATTTATTATTTTAGGAATTTTATGTGGTACAGGAGATACGATATCTGTTTTTTCTGTTGGTGATAAGTTACAAATCTTTGCTCGTTCAATCACCAATACATCTTATCTTTATACATCAATAATTTCTGGTGAAAAAGCTTCTCTTTGGCAAATGATTGGGCAACCTGCTATTAAATTGTTAAAAGATGCAGCTATAGGATGGAACTCTTTTACACAAGTTTGTAAATGTTTTGAAAATATGAAAGTTTAAATTTATTTATATATTTTATATTCCAAAACAAAAAATTAATTTAGATGTTTGAGGCTTTTATTGTTGCTAATGACGGTTATCTTTATCGAAGTTGGCAGTTATCCATGTATAAATGGTCATCTTGGGATAAAACTGGGTATTACGCTCCTTCCTCACAATTTGCTCCAGTTGTTTATGGAATGTCAACGAATATGTTTAATGGTCAGTTAAACTTATTTGTACATGGAGAAGATAATATGTTGTATCATATCTGGCAAACAACGTGTGACAAAGTTCCTAATCCTTGGGGTTGGTGTACTTGGAGTACATGGAAGCAAATAGGTAGTAAAATGCCTCAATCAGCTAATCTTAACACATTAAGTATTGGAAACAATTTACATTTGGGTATTGAGGTAATTCAAGTATCTATTTTAGTAAAGTTGAAAATTGAATATAAATTATATAGCTTAACAATTTTTTATTTTTTATATTGTAGTGGCAAATTATGCCTTAACTCCGCCTTCTCCCCCTCCTTCCACACACATAAAAACAAAAACTTAAATACCAATTAAAAGTACAGCATGTTGGAAATCTAATAGAATTTTTGTTTTTCTTGTATTTATATCTGAAAATTGATTTATGGTATCTTTTTAATTTAATTGCCCTGCTTCCATGCTATCTTTTACAATGTGATATCTTTTTTTGAATATTCTTTAAGCAGCCTAGGCATTTAATAGATCCAGGCTTCCCTTATTAAAATTGGGCACTTGTTAAGATTGTACTGTTTTAGTAATATAAGATGGTGTACTTTCAATGAGTTTTATTTTACAATTAAACAAACTCAACGTTTTACTTCTTAGTTTAAGCCTTTTCTTGTAAACTTTCTTTTAATTTTACATCAACAGCTTAAAAGTAAATAATGCATAAAATGCATTAAAAAAAAAAAACACATATATAATTCTTTTATCAAAAAGTTATTTCTTTATTGATTTTGTAAAATCGAAGTAAAAAATTAAAGTTCTTAATTATAAAATTTTATTGCCTAAATTATTTAGCCTGGTTTATGGTTCGTTTGTTTTTTGAAACCTGGTTTCAATGGAAACTTTGTATACAGTAACTCTGGTCAATGTGATAATTGATGTCTTAGTTATGTGTTAAAAATCATTTTTAAATCAGTTTTTTTTTTCAAAAACATCTAATTCAAAACCAGGGCAATTGGCTGTTCTGATGACTTTTTTGTGGATACTGAGACAGCTCATTTTAAATCAGGACAATCTGCAGCCGTATTCACATCTCTCTGTTAAACTAACAGAGAATTTGAGTGTTTGTTAAGAAAAAAGCTCTAAACGGCAATTATAAAACAGAGAAAAATAAAAAACAGAGGAAAGTAATTCTAATCCTTATGTTTAGGTTCAGTACTTCAATAAATTTTTTAGTTGAAGTTCCTCCGTTAGCCAGGTCCGTTAAATAGTTTTCATTCTGTTTTTCTCAACGCATCTAAACATTGCTATGCCAACTGACGATGATTTTGTTTAATTGATAAATTTCAGCCAGTGGTTTTTTAAATAATGGTTGCTGATAAATTCTCTAAATTTATTTTGAATATGCTATAATACAAAAAAAATCAAAGAGTTTGTATCTACTTAACACTTAGTTTCATTTTTTTTAAATTTTATATTGATACTTCTTCACTCTTAAACATTTTCTTATGACTCTATTTTCTTCAATTTTTGCAAATGGATCAAAACATTAAAACCGAGTAATTTTATTTTGATTTCAAGAAATCACAATCATCTTTATTGCACCAAAGTGGAGGTTTTATTGTCCTAGTGTTTAAACTATATATTAACTTCAAAATGAGACTGTGTACCTTGTAATGTGTTCTTTCTGCTTAAGAAATCAACAACTTGTTATTCAAAAATTATTTTACTTTTAAAATGAACTTTTCTTAGGCTAAAATGAATCTTTAAACATACAAAAAATGTACCTAACTCAAATGTTATTTTTTAATTATAATAATATTCTTTATAAACCAAAAAAAAATAAAAAAATAACTAAAACATTTGAAAATAACTCTTAACACACATAAAAATAGATATTTTTGTAAAAAAATTGTTCCCAAATTCTTTTAATTATGCTTGGTATAATTTTAACAGAGAAAGTTTCATGTAACCTCTACATGGCTTTGTCTTAGAGCATATTGAAAGCTCCCAATCCATGTTTTGTTGCTACACTCCTCTAATACAGGACTGTGTAGATATACAATGGTATGATACAATCATACAGTGTATGATTATGTAATTCAAAAACATGGATTGAAAAGACAAAAATAATGTGGAAATATCAAAATTGTTTCTTTTAATTAACACTTGATATATTTAAATAAAAATTTATCTTTTTAAGATCATATTTTTGTAAAATGAGGGGGTAATCAAAAATCCATGCTACCGAGATTTTACCATGTGCTTTTTATAAAATACCCTTAAGCACGTACTGATATAAAGTTAATATTGTTAATTGTTTTGAAAAACTTACATAGAAGCTAAAAAAAAACTAAATGTGTTTGGCTTAAATCATTTATTAAAAAACTAAATGGGAACTTATAAAGCCAAAATATGTTTCACAGGAAAGAATTCAATTTTTTATTCATTACTATCCAAAGGTTTCAAAAATTGGCAACAGTAAAGATAATGAATGTATATATATATATATATATATATATATATATATATATATATATATATATATATATATATATATATATATATATATATATATATATATATATTAGGGTTGTTAACCGGAGGATTTCATGCAATTCCGGAAAAACATTATTCTTTCGTAAGGAGATTGAGAACACGGAATTACACTTTTTCGTACCGAATGTTACAAAACATTTAAAATCGCCGATGTTCATTTCGCAAAAGCCACTTCCAAAATTTAGCATTTCGCAAGTTGACATACGAAACAAAACTATTTTGCAACATATTTATTTGAATTATGCCCGAATTTATATGAATTATGAAATAAATTGATTTGAGTTATGCTTAAGTTATGCTTTGAAATGTGATATAATTTTAATCAATAACATTATTCGTAAAAAGTTTAGCTTAACTAGAGTTTATCTCATTAGCCAATTAGGCTAATAAGATAAACATTATCACATGGTTATTTGTTGTTGTAATTTTTTCAAAAAGACTGCTTCATGATCTATATTTCAATTTAATCCATAAAAGAATGCATTTGATCTGAATTTAAGGAATCAATAAGGGACCAGTGCTTGCAAGCCATTAGTGAAACATAGCGCTTATTTACTTCTGTGGTAATTCGTAAGTAACAATACTTCCCATTGTTATTGTTGCAAAGCAATGAGAACCTTATAATACAGTTCTTGAAATCTGACATATTCATTTGAAAACTACTGGCAATAAAATGAATCTTTATTATCTTGGGACTAAATTAATAAATTTATATATATATATATATATATATATATATATATATATATATATATATATATATATATATATATATATATATATATATATATATATATATATACGCTATAGCATATTTATATGCACACTTGCTCTATTTTTTACCTCATCTTACCTAAATTAATATAGATTTTTTAGAAAAAGAAGAAGAAAATAAAGAGTAATGAATGAAACGGTTGCTGCCATATCCTAAAACCCTCAGGCTATGTAGCAGCACTCCACTGCGAGTCGGGCTATATATGTGTACATATATACATATATATGTGTGCGTATATATATATATATATATATATATATATATATATATATATATATATATATATATATATATATATATATATGTATATATATATGTGCATATATATATATACGTCTATAAATATATATACATATATTAGATACATATAAAATATATGTATATATGTTTATAGATATATATATATATATGCATATTTGTATATATACACATATATATATATATATATATATATATACATATAATATTTATATAAATTGTATTTTATATATATATATATATGTATGTATATATACATGTATATAAGTGTGTGTGTGTATATATATATATATATATATATATATATATATATATATATATATATATATATATATATATATATATATATAAATTAACCCTCAGAATTAGTCGGTCTGCATCAGGTTGGCAAAAAAAAATTGATACCAAGGTCTTACCATAAAGCACAGAAACAAGGTCGGCAATATTTGATGACCCTAATTCCAAGGGTTGATATATATGTATATATGTATATATATATATATATTAGGGCTGTACCGGATTTCGGCTCCGGCTCCTGCTCTGGTTGAAATCCGGCCATTTTTACAAATCCGGCTCCGGCAAAAATTTAGCAAATCCGGCATAATTTTAGCCGGAGTTTTGAATTTTGTCAAATATTTATTACATTTTTTTTTCCCGTGTTTACATGTATACCTAATATTTTATTTATAAAAATCAATTTTTTTTGTAGTTCTATATTTTATGAACCTCATATTTGTTTTGGTATTTGTATTTATATTTCTTTATAATTTAATAAGCTTATTCTAATTTCAAACAACAACGCAACAAAAAATTCTGAAGGGAAGACACACGATATTCTACAATGATGCAGGTATAAAGACTATGATGTCAACCCTAATCAAGTGATTGGATGAGCGTTTTAAAAACATGGAAAAGAGAAACCTCTTTATATACTGACGAGGCTGGTTGACTCACAATTTAAAACTAAATTCTCCTCATTGCAGGCAACACTGACAGCTGAAAAAACAAGATTGAAGTCAATCTGAGCATGCTGAACAGAAGATTGATAAAACTGAAGAAAATCCACCAAAATAAGCCGGGCTTAATAATTTTTCTACATCATCATCATCATTACTCTGGCAATTTATTGATAAAATTATTCAGTCTACGTCCGCTGGTGGCAGGGCACATAAACAACAATTACTAAAAGGTATTAAAACTCAACTAAGGAAATATCCGAAAGAACCAGAAATAAATAGACACAATGATCCACTACAGTGGTGGAGTGACAAAATCCCGGAAAAAAAGTTCAATAGAATTACTATAAACTTTTAAAACATATGGCCTATAGAATTTCTTTAGAATTTCTATTAATTTATATATAGAAATTGCTATAAAACTTTTTAAATAACAACAATGAAGTTTAACAGAAAACAGCAGTTACTTGGTATTCTGAATAGTCCACATTGTTAACCATGCTCAACACCAAGTAGGGATGTACAGGATTTTAACTCCTGTAGTTTTGTTTTGAAATCCGGCTCCGATTCCGGCCGGATCTGTCAGTAGAAATCCGGCAAATCCCGCTCTGGCCGGATTTGAAAAAATTAAATCCGGTACAGCTCTAATATATATATATATATATATATATATATATATATATATATATATATATATATATATATATATATACATATATATCCTTATCTTGTAATCAAAAGAGACTTTTATGGTCAAAAAAGTCTTTTTTAACAACAATTATGCAACCTCAACAAATAAGCTACATTTTTATATCATCGAAAAGTCAAAGCAATTAAATTAATGCAAAAGTACATTAAGTTTGTTGTTTTTTAAAAAACTGCAATAATAATGACTAGAAAGTTTTTTAATTAATAGTGTTTTTGTTTTTTAAAAACATTTTTTTTAAACATTCACGGAGTGTGGCTACATCAACTATCTTATAGCCTGGAGCAATGGAGTACCTCTAGATCAACTGAGGGTTCGGTTCGGATATATATCAATGGGTTAACTCTAAAACATTCTCCATTTTAGACAGTTGTGAGAAAAACAATTTTTAAATCAAATATTTAAAAATATATTATAATTGAATAACTGCTATTATGGTAGCAGTGCTGGATTAAAGGGCTCCAAAATAGTAAGTAAATAATACAAAAAAATATGTCTAAACATCCTGTTGCATACAGTATTTTTTAATTATTATTTCAAGATTTTTTTGTCTGGACTTGATGGTAATCTCTACAAACTATGGCAAAAGGATAGAGGAGGCATATGGAATGGTTGGCAGTTAGTTGATGCACAGAAAGAGTATAAGTTGGCTTCTCTTCCTCAAGTCATCGATGATGGATCAGGATGGTGGTGTGCTTATGCTGTAATATTTAGTTATTTTTTATTTTGTTTGGCTTTTTATTTATTTTTTCAATTATTTGTAGTGTTTTTAAATTTTTAGCTTGACACACAACAAAATTTAATTGCAATCAAGCAAAATCGCTCTTTAACACTTTCAACTGATACCATTATATCAGCTTCAAGTTTTACTATTTCCTGGGATATGCCAGAAGATGAAGTTACTAGCAATGATTGGATTGGTAGGATAGTTTAAATTTAAATTTACTGATTTATTGTTTAAAAATTGTTTGCAAGTTTTATTATTTTGTTAAAAAATTAAACAATGTTGTTGTAATATATATTATCATTACATAGCATTTTTCAGGTATTTTTTTGTCTAACGCATCCAATCAACTGTACTTGGATTATGCATATGTTGGAGGTGGACAAAATCCTTCCTCAAAAGCTGTTCCTCATGGCAACATAAATGTTACAACATATCTTCCTGATGGTGCTTATGACGTCAGATACTTGTAAATATATTTTGATTAGTTAAAAAATTTAATTTATTAAGTTTATTTAGTGCATTTTAAAACACAATGAATTAGTTTAAACTTTACATAAATTATAATAGAATTTATTTTATGATATAAAAGTTATATTATTAAAATATACAAATAAAAACATGAATATGTTTGTAAAAATTAAAAATATTTAGTATACTAAATAAAATGTTAAAACTTTTCTTAAAAAATATCTTATATTCAAAAGACTGTCATCATTTGAAAATTTTTTAATTTTTCTTTTATTTAAAACGTCAATTATATAAAAAGCTCACTTAATTTAAGTGTAGAAATTGTTAAAAAATATTATAAAAATATAAGCTTACATAATTTATATTGAAATTATTCAATAGATGTTGTTTTTCCATTTTATATTTTAAATATAAATGTATAAAATGGAAAATAATATGTTTATCATACTTTTATTGTTAACAATTTTAAAGTTTTTTAAAAAAGTTTTATTCCCAAGTGATTTATACTATTACAATATAAAACTCATTCATTCAAAGTTTAGTTGCAAATAAATTTTTATTCTCTCCTGTTCTATCTTTCTTTGCAAGAAGCAGGTAGCACAATAAAAATGTGTCAATCTTTCAAACCTAGATCTTTTGATGCAACAACAGCTCTTTTGCAATAACTATAATTTGTCCTGTAACTCAGGATTAAAAAACTCATTTTTAAAATTATCAAATATAAAAGTATATTTTATGCTTGCTAAAGTTTATAATTTGTAGTTTAAAAAAATCACCGAAATATCTTCATTTTTTACTTTGGCAAAAGCCATAATAAAAAGCTTGTTTAAATCATTTAAGGGAGTGTGGGAATGAGCTAGAGCTATATTTCTATATAAACATTATTAGGTTTAACAAATAAAATTTATTACAAATAAATTATAAAATTAAAAAAACATGCTCTTTAAAAGTAAAGAAAGAAAGAATTAAGTGTAGGATGCAATAAATTCAAAAATAAATTCTAAAAACTTTTTTTATCCTCGGTTAAATAAGTAAAAATGGTCCCAGGTTTTGGTATTATTACTGTTAGGGAAATATTACTATATAAAAGAGATTTTATAATGAAGCTTTTATAGGGCTTATAAACCAAAACCTGCAAACCATTATTTGCTAAATTTAACAGTCAGCATTATAAAGTTATTTTATATTTATTCTATGTTTTTTAATGTTGTAACCAAAAAAAAAAAAAGCCTCCTTGTCTGCAGTACCTCTGTCTGACCTTGGGGAGGTGAAAAACATTTTTAAAAAATTAGGTAAAGTCTGGGAAATTTAGATATGATTTGGAAAATCAGGAAAAAAAGAATAATTTAGTTAAAAATTAGGGAATTTTATAATTTGTACTTTTTTATTTTAATGTTTCAAAATGTTTACAGTAAATATTTCTTTTTAAAGTTACTAATTATTTGATCATATTACTCTAAAGATTGTCATATCTAACAATATTTATTAATATTTTAATAATATTTTAATAAATGTTAATAGAGTTTAGGAGATATTTATTTATATTTTAATAAATATTAATAGAATTTGAACTATTATTAAGAATTAAAATAAATTTGTTAAGTGCTTTTTTGTGTAGAAATAGCTGTGATATTTGAATGTTCTCAAAGTTTTATTTAACCATATTATATTTCCATTTCATTTTTGAAAAAGGTTGATGGAAAATTTGCTGGGAAATGGCACAGATAAAAAGTCAGCCAAGTGAAAAACATACAATGTTTAATCTAAGTTATCAAGTATGAATCAGAGTTGTGACACAGAGAGGGAACATAAAAAGCAAGGCTTTGACTTCTAAAATATGTTTAGAAGTCTAAGCCTTGCAACTAGAAGCCTGTACAGTCTATATCCAAAATGCAAGCAGTTCTTTAACTAGATCAACTTGATATGCTTGTGCAGAAATCTATTCTGATTTGCATGCAGTAAAAAATAATTTCTTATTGACCTTGTGTTCAATAAGAAACTATTTTTGGAAATGGAATATAATAAAATGGAATGGAATGAAAATTGTCTAAATCAAAAAATGTTCGCTGATAGCACAATTTTTAAATTCTATGAGATGGGTGGAACAAAAGATGGTTATGTTATTAATTTTGTTCTTAGACCTTGTTTACACAGACTTTTAGCAGAAAAAAAGAAAGCCCTTTTTTATACTGTTTCGCTTGATGAAAGTTTGAATGATTTTGTTTCATATTGTCCAATTGCTCAAATAAATCTAAATATTTAATATTAGAACACCAATCTAAATTGTGTTGAATCCAGATACTTTGATTCTCAATTATTGGGCCACCCCACCTTAAAAAGTAGAACATAACATAGAACGTTACATAGAATTGAGGAGAAATGTTTCACCATCTCAAAATGCCATTAATAGATCCATGAAAGATGGTCAGCTTATTATCATTATAATTCTTAAAAATATATTTAAAAAAAGTTTAAATCAAACTTTTCTGGAAGCAACAACCTACAGTCAATCCTATCAAAAAAAAATTGATCTTCAACCGATGAAATCTGTACTTTACCTAGTTTCTCTTTGCCTGCAAATCTTTTCAAATAAATGTAACAATAGTTAGACTAGTGACTATATAAAAAAATGACATCCCTCTCGCTAGTTATATGTAGTTTTTAAAATTACTGTATTCTTTTTTTATATATATATAATATAATAAAATTATGACTCACAATATAAAATAAAAAAAACCATTTGCCAATAAAAAAAAATATTTGTACATAGCTTCAAACTAACTTCAAATACTTAACTTCTTAATTGACATTGTTTACAATGTCTTTCATGGTTTATGACAGAAATCAAAAAGCCTAAATTTTGTTTACGGTATTAGAGAATACAAAAGCACATTTTTAGCATTATTTAGAGTTTTAATTAAAAACTACATAATAAATTTCACTCAAAAATGTTTTTTTATCCATGTTAGATTTTGCAAATCTTTTCAAATGAATGTGACCTTGTCCCCACACAATTCTTGAAGTTGTTTGAAGAAAGTTCATCTAATCTTTTAGACAGATTTTGTTTTAAAACCATTGAAGTTGTTAAATGTTTTTTCTTTATCAAGACTTTTAACAAAACCTTGTTAAAAAACAAGGTTTTGTTGAAAGTCTTCAAAATCTGAAAGTCAAATATCAATTGAGAGGTGCATCAGCATAAATAGTAATAAGAAAGAAAAATCACTTGTCTCTCATCCAACTTTTAAGGATTTTGTGGTTTCTAATAAATTTAAGACTCATCAAGTTAAAATAACAATGAAATAATAAAGGCTGTTTGTAATGCCATGTTGAAATATAAAAATTATCTAGAGGAAAATAGAAAGTTGCAAAAAAAAAAAAAAACAAAGTAAGAAAACAATGCGATAATATTATTGTCATGGTAATTTTTTATTATTGTCATGATATTACTTTGGATCTAATTTAAAGAAAGTGTTTTAAAATGAACCACAAAAAGTTTTATATCATTAATCAAGTAATAAAAGAAGTACCATGTTGCAATTTTTCTGAACTAAACTATGCTAAAAAAGTCTATACAAAGTAACTTTTCTACAATATTCAAGATATTTTTCTTTTATTGTCAGTACTAGGTTTACTGTGTTCAATTTTGTTTATATTTTGATAACATTATTTTTTTACATATATATAAATATATATATATATATATATATATATATATATATATATATGCATATATTTTGATTACATATATATATCAAAATATATGGATATATATCAAAATATATATGCATATACTTTGATTACATTCAAAATAGTTATATTTCGAAATGCAATTCAATGGTATCTTGAGCATAAGAAGAAAAGCTTTAAATAACTGATGGGATGTCTGTCAAGGGGTGTAAAAAATCACTTCAAATAATCAAAATTTTGAATAACTGCAGGTTTGAATAACTGATGGATATTTGCATGAATTTGTTAAGGAAAAATCGTGAGGAATGAAAATTGTTTTGGATAAGCGGGAAGTTATGATAAGCACCAGTTCCAACAGCTGGAAGTTGTAATAGATACTGTAATAAATTTTTGGTATTGATATATTTTGACCTAGTAAATTTTTTGTAAAGTATATTTTTAAGAGAAATAAATTTAGTAATACTATAAGTCAGGTGTGACCAGACTTTTCAGGATGCGGGCAAAAAAAAAAGTTATAATACAATTTTGCGGGCAAAAAATATTTCTACAAAAATAATAACAATTATAGCCATATGTTGCAAAGCAATATAATTATTAAGAGTGGTGAACTTGACCATCTGAAACTAGTTTTTTGATGTCTGGATTGATTTTTAAGGTAGATAGAAATATCACATTATCAAGATGGTTGTCTCCTTAATATCCAAATTGTTTAACGGCATTTAAAAAAATCTCTGCTGACATTTTTTGGGCAGTGGTTTGGCCACTACTGCTATAAGTTATTCAGGATTTAGATTAAAGTTTTTTTTTTTTGTTAATTTTTTTCTTACAAATTAAAAACTAATTAAGTTAATAACAACCTCAATAATCTAAAGAATACTTGAAAAAGAATTAAAGAAATCATAAACGCCAAAACATTCTACTAATACTAAGCCTCAAAATCAATAAAAATGTTATCTCGGATCATGCCAATGTTGCCAATATATTTAATAACTATTTTGCGACTTTTCAAGGCAAAGTACTTAAAAAAGTTGTTCTTTCTAAATGTGTTTTTGGAAACTTTCTTAAAATACCTAGTACTTATTCTTTTTTCATTGATCGTGTGACTGAAAATAAGATGTGCAATCTCATAAAAGTCTTGGCCCAATAGTCTACCTCCATTTATTATATCTCATTAATCTATGTAATATGATGAATAGTTCTTTCAAAAATGGTATTTTTCCAGAAACTTTTAAGTCAGCCAAAGTAGTTTCTATGCATAAAATGGGTTCTTTTTTGTGTTTATCCATATACAAATTATCAATCCATTTTTTTTAAGTAAACTGTTTGAAATAGCTATGTTCTACAGGCTCCAAGTTTTTTTTTATAGAAAGATAAATGTCTTTACAAACACCAGTATGGCTTTTGTAACAAACACTTAACAACATATTCATTAATAGAAATAACAGAGAAAAAGTCCTTGACAATAAACACTCTGTGTTGGAGTGTTTATTTACATAAGAAAACCATTTGATACAGTTGAGCACAAACTCCTAGACAAACTGGAATACTACAGTATTAGAGATTTTCCTATTATCTTTTTGAATAGAACACAATTTGTTTTAATTAATGGTATCAATTAGCCAAATCTTTTATAGTTTGGTATTAGGAACATTACTTTCTCTTATTATTAATGATTTGAATGTTGCACTTAAATTTTCTATGGCTTATCACTTTGCCGATGACACCAGGTTGCTCCTAATTAACAAACCACTAAAAATTTAACAAAAATATGAACCATGATCTAGCCAATGTACAATGGCTTTGCTCTATTAAGTTGATTTTTTGACTTTTTAACTATTTAAAAACAAGTCATTAGTTGGCAAAATTTTTTGTAATTTTCCTTTTTAAAAACAGTTTAACTCAGCTAAATAGGGTAGTGGTGTAGTGGTGGAACACTCGCTTTATAAACAAGAAGTTCTGAGTATGACCCCTACCACATCTCTTGTAGTCCACCTTTCAACTTGTTTCTCCCAACATCAGCTTTGTCAAGCTTTGTCATGTTTTGAAGTTATAGAGTTATAGAGATGAGAGAAGGTTTTAACCACAATTAAAGTAGTCTACTCAACTGTAGTGGTCTTCTAAGAAAAGAGTTTATGGAGAAGATCATCATGCCAAACTTTATCAAAGGTTTTAGAAATGTTGACAGGAATAACTTTAACCTCTCCACATCTATCTAATGCACAATAAAACCTATCGGTTATTACTGTTAATAAATCAGCAGTGGAACAAGAAGATTGAAATCCATATTGATGATCAGAAAGTATGTTATTAGATTCAAGATTAGAGATTAGGTGTTTGTTAATTTAAGACTCAAAAACTTTGCTTATGATAGGAAGAAGACTAATGGGGCGGTACATAGACGAGTTAGATCGTTCTCCAGAATTTTCGAAAATAAGGATAACAGATGCTGTTTTCCAGCAGGTTGAAAGACAAGACTCTGATAAGCACTTATTATACAGTTTTGAAAGTATGGTTGAAAGCCCACGAGAACACTTCTACATGATTATAACAGGTATGTTGTCTAGACCACAAGCTGTAAAAGAGTATAAACAGGAAATCACTTTAGATACAGAAGCTGGAGTTATATGCATGTCAACCAATGGATCAACTTTTTGTATGAGAAAGCGAGTAGAAAATGAATTTTGCTAACTCTGTTAATCAAATTAGACTCTAATTTATCTTTCTCATCGCATTGAAATTAGGCAGATCGAACAGTATGTTAGCTAAAATCTGTAATTGTGTTAATCGTGAAACTTTGCCTAATATATATCATGCTTTTTTTCATTCTCATTTCAGATATGCGTGTTAAGTTTTATGATAATCTAAGCAGGTTGCTTTTTAAAGATTAACTATTCTCCAAAATAAAGCTCTAAAATTAATTCAAATTAATTCAAATTCTAACAACTCTATTTTTTATCTAAAGTCCTTAAATTGCATGACCTTATTTAACTGTCATATTTATTTGGAACCAAAATCATAGTAACCTTACATTTATCAACTTTTTTAATTGTTGAGAAACATGTAATTATATTCTAGGATCTGCTTGCAACTTTAAATTTTTTTGTACCTAACCTTTGAACAGCTATGAATTCATACAATATAATTTAAAAAAAAAATTTTTTAACTGCATTTTTTAATTATTTTTAGAAAAAAATTGTATGTAAATCTTATGCTCTTCTACGATTTATTATTTATAGCCCTAATGCTGAGCTTCTGTTTATCTAATATTTTCTCTTATCTTTTGTGTATAAATTTTAAAATCTTTATTATTTTGATTATTCTTAAACCAAATTATTTTTATTGTTATAATTCTCTTTATCACTATTATTGTTATCATTAAAATGTTTTTATCATAATAAATATTTTTTTTCTTGCTGTTGTTATTATTGTTGTTATATTATTGTTATTTTTAAATCATTGTTATTATTATTAATATAATATTGCATGTGCTTTTAATAATTACTACTATTATTCTTATTTTGTATTATAATTATTATTTTTATTATTATTGAATTTGACAGGTGTTTACTTCATATTAGTACTTTTTACTATTTTTAAACATCCCTGGTGTAGCAATCTTATTTAGAAAATATGTGTTTCGATTTCTGATTACTACAACTTGGTCCAAACAACATTCCTTTTATTGTCTAACAAAGGTGTAAAGGTGTCCAGATTTCTCTTTAAATCTCTTAAAACTAATAATTGCTTAACTGAATTTTAACTATTATTAACAAGGTTTTTATTAACAAACTTTTAATATCAAGTCTAACTATATACTCATACATACACATACAAATCAGAATGAGAGGGTTTCAATCCTCTCAATTTGACTTGTTAATTGTTTTAACAGAAATGTTCTATCATACATTAGATTATGAGATAATGGTAAGGGTTATTCATCTAATAACCAAGTAAAATTTACAACTCCATCATTTTGGTAATCCAAAACTTCAACTACCACAATTTTTGGCAAAATATTATTAAAACATACTTAGTTTATGATACTTGCACAATGCCTTAAAGTGTCATATCTGAAATAGTATTTATACTATATAAATAATTTTTTTTTTACTATGTTAGTTAACTTTCTTAGATAATCTACTATACCCTAACTTGTTAGTTAAAATGAGTTGACTATTTATTTTTTTTTAGAAGAGAAATTTATTATTAAATAATTTTTTAATATAAATATAATATGCGCATAAAGTTTATTTTATTAATGAATATATTATAATCAAATGCTGCGCTTATATATTTTTATATGAAAATTTTGTTTATGGATAAGTGCGAACTAGCATAAGTGAAAAACAGTTGCAAAAACTGGCACAAGTGCAAACTGGCATAAGACGAATTGGCATAAGTGCGCCAAACAAATTTGCAAACATTAGCATAAGTGCAAACTGTCATAAGTGTAAAGCAGTTACAAAAATTGGCATAAGTGCGAACTGACATAAGTCAAACTGTCATAAAAAAGGCCAAATAAAATTGAAAATATTAACTTAAGTGCAAGTTGGCATTTTGCGCGTATGCCAATTCCCACTTATGCTTGTTTGCCCTTATGCCAGTTTGCATTTGTGCCATTCACACTTATACCAGTTCGCAGTTATGAAATTTGCGCTTATTCAGTCGTCCCATTTTATTTATATATATAAATGTAATAGTATATGTATATATTTTTTTAGAATTGATAAACGCTTTGTAGCTGCCTTGGGCGTCTCAACTTTAGTCAAAAAAGGTTCAGAGGATGTTGCATGGATTCAAATATTCACTGGTATTTTTACAGGTCTACAGTTCAAAGATGTTAATGTTAGTACTTGTGTAAAAGATGCAGAAGAAATAGAGAAAGATTTTCTAGGTATTTTATTTTTATCAGTACAAGATAAATGAAGATTTTTTTATTTTTTTTACTAATGTAAATTTTTCTAATGAATGTATGAATTATATTGTTTGTAGATGCATTTGAAGATTTTGAAGAAAGATCAATATATTCAGGTTTGCAGAAGTTAGGTGTGGCAGTTAATGTTATAGTTAAAGCAATGAGTGATTGTGGAATTTCACAAAATATCATAGATCGAATTTCTAAATTTGTCAAAGATTTAATTGCCTGCACTGATAGTAAATTTTTTACATATTTTTATGTTTATGTATATATAATTAATATATTGATAGTAATTATAATTAATTATATATAACTAATATATTGATAGTAAATAATAGAAAATTATTATTATTAAACTACAATACAAAAGTGTTTTAAAAGTTCATATTCAATAAAATATGCAAAGTAGCTTGAATTTAGTTATTTATATTATTCTAATAATTAAAATATATTAAAGTTTACAGCATTCAAAATAGCTTGTTTTAATTTTTTCATTTTTTTTTTCTTTTCTTTATTTAGAGGGATCGTGTGTTCATTTTGTTATTGATATCAGTACGGAAATATTAGTACTTTATGAAAATTCTTATGAGATTTATGGCGATATCAGAGCATCGATAAATTCATTCAAGATAAAAGCTTATGAACAAGGTATCAGCGTCGTTTTTGAATTTTTTAGTTTACTTTTCTTTTTTTGATTAGTATATCTAAAATCTGAACAAAAAAAAATTGATGAACATTGAAGATATCTTTTTAACTTTTTAAAGATGAATATTTATTAGTATATCTAAAGTCAAAAAAATATTGACTAACATTGAAGATGTCTTTTTAACTTTCTAAAGATATTTATAAAACTCTTTAAAAGGTTAAAAAGACATCTTCAATGTTCATCAATTTTTTTTGCTTAGATTCTAGATTAATTTGTTAAAAAATAATCAACAGTTTGTTATCGATCAAAGACTGATAAACGAATTTTTTGATTTTTAATTTTCAGTTAAAATATTTAAAAATATTTTGGTTTTAAAATTTTTCGTCAAATATTTTGTTTCATATAATCAAGGAGTCTGAATAAAATATTTGGAAAATGATGCTCTAATTTCCTTATAGTTATAAAAGCATTATTATATTATTCAGTTTTATACAAAATTATATATATATACAATACTGTAACTTATCAAAACTCATGTCTTGATAAAGTCTTCTTATTATGTATAGTTTTATTTATAGGAGGTGTCAATATCGGACGCATCATAAAAGCATGCATCGATTTACCTCGATAAACAAAAGAAAATTTCTTAACCAGATAGTATTTAACTTATAACAAGTAATCAAGTTAATTGTAATATAAAATGTAATAGTATAGTATAGTATATAATATACTTTTTTTTTAGTACTGTGTATGTTGTTTTAAGGTTCTAAGGAAGTTTTTTGTTTCTTTTCTCGTAGATGTAACTTTTATTTCAAAAAAAGTAATATGTAAAAAAAATTTAATAGTATAGTGAATAATATACGTGCTTTAACTTCTCTTTTTTGTAGCATTTTGCGGTTGTTTTAAAGTGCTAAGATCAACTTATCTTTTTATTATGAAGTCACCACTTTAGCCACTGCGCCACTGCTGTAGCAACGTAATGAACGTAACTGTCTCTCTGTCGAGTCTGATTTTTATTTAATGAGATGATTATTGTATCGACAGTCATGGCAATTGAATTAGGCGTTTTACATTTAATGTTAAGTTTTATCTAACACGCATAAATCTTAAAATACCGTCGGTGCGTTCTCTTGGCGTTAATTGGTTAAGTTTAAGTTTTAATTTTAAGTCTTCATAATTTAAGATTTAGTTAAGGTTTTTGACTCTAATCATATAATCAAAATAAGATGTTAAATTTAAACAGTAACAAATTTCTCATCAGCTGGTAATCCGTCGTAATTTGGAAAAAATACTAATTCTGTGTCTAATTATGGAAGTATTATAGAAGGAAGTGCAATGCTCGAAAACATCAAAGGTTCCGAATACCGTCACAAAAACCATGCTTGAAATATAAATAATCGGTAAATTTTAAAAAATGGCATTTTATTTACACCGATGCATTAATTGAAATTTTAGTTTAATAATGTTTTAAACAGATACTTCATGCTTATATAAATAAAAAATAGCTTAGAAGTTAGCTGGAATGTTGCCAAATAGTGTGTTCTATAATTTAAATAAAGAGACTGATTTTTATGAGTAAAAAGATGGTTTAGCTGATGGCTGTTGGTTCAAAAGTATATTCCGTCACATACCTGAAAACCATATATATTAATGTTTCCATTTTATAATAAAAGGTTATTTGTTTTTTCAATGTTAAAAAACCTATTAAAATACATTTTAGCACCATTCGTCCCTCATTCATCACATTTATTAAACTTCAAGTTCCTCTCAAAAACAAACTTTCTGAAATTTGACGGCTCCATTTAATTTTATTTGTCTCAATAAACACACATCAGTAATAATATATGTTCATTACTTTGAAAAAAATTATTTGTACATTTTTTGAATGTATAAAGAGTAAAATTCAGTTAAAGTTACATATATTTTAAAATTATATGTAAATAAAATTATATGCATATATAGTTTTATAAAAATAAATAAATTATATGCATATAAAATTATACGTATGTATATATATATATATATATATATGTGTGTGTGTGTGTGTGTGTGTGTGTGTGTGTGTGTGTGTGTGTGTGTGTGTGTGTGTGTGTGTTATGAATGTATATATACATATATATATATATACATATATATATATATATATATATATATATATATATATATATATATATATATATGTATGTATGTATGTATATATATATATATTTATATATATATATATATATATATATATATATATATATATATATATATATATATATATATATATATATATAAATTATGTTACGGGGCTTGGCGTTAAGACAGTTTATGTCTTCTTCTTGCTCCGGCCAATTTTTATGCATGAATGGTTTTTTCTCATTGTAAATTTAAATATACGGCAAAGAAAATATAATAATAATAATAATATAATAATAATATGTTAGTGTATTCTACAAATAGAGTGCTCAATGTTCTTAAAGAAAAGAGCAGTAATAAATTAGTAAAAACAGTTATCTAATTTTTTCTTCAAAATGTTTAAAAGATTGTTTGTGGCTGGCATAATGTTTTTACAAGTCATTACAACCTTTTTAGGTTAAAGATCACGTGATGACGTGGTTACATTACATGTATATGAATGGGATCTTTTCATGTTTTATGGGGATGTTGGTCTTTAATTTGGGCATAAACTCAGAGAAGAATATATTCAATTTATTCACTGTCAAAACTGCTTCTAAATTTAGCTGCAGAAGTAAGGGTGTATAATTTTAAATCAAAAAGAGTAAAAAGTGTTGTTTTTTTTATTAATCTTGTTATTTGAATTTATTAGGTTTGAATATTGCTGGTGATCGACTTAATTACGGAAATTATCATGAATAAATGCAGAAAGTTTGAAAAGTTGATACTACTGATAAACTCTGTAAAAAAAAGTTATAAAGCCAGAGCTTTAAAATTTCGACTTTGATAGAGCCAATTATTAGAGTTTGTATCAATTTTAAAGAAACCAAATAAGTTTCTCATTTTTGAAACAAACTGATTTAAAGAAACTTATTTTTTAAAAAAATGCAATTAATATCAATCTTACGCTTTATTATTAACTATTTGGTTTTAAACAGTATAGTTTGTTGAAATTAGTCTGGGTTTAGCTTCACTCTGAATATATTTTAAAATATTTACCTACTTTCCTTTTCGACCTTATTTTACATTAAAGCAAACTTTTATTATAAAATTGCTGCTAAAAATTCAAAATTTTTTAACATTTCAATTTTCAGCAACATTTCAACATTTCAATTTTCAGCAACATATTTATAGCGTTCAAAAGATTAGTCCTTATAAAAAATTAACAACTGCCTATTAAGTATAAAAATGACAGTTTTTAATTCGTTTTTAATTGTTTCTACCTATGTCAAACTACTGAAAGGTTTTTGAAGGGTAAGAAACACTTAAATCCAGTAGTGTTGTAAGGTGGGGTGGGAATTACTTTTTATGGGACAGCAGATTGATGAAAATTATTAATTTCAATTTAAGTCGAGAAATGGCTTTGATCATCAAAGATCGCTTCAGAATCTTCTTTATATATATATATATATATATATATATATATATATATATATATATATATATATATATATATATATATATATATATATATATATATATATATATATATATATATATATATATATATATATATATATATATATATATAAATATATATATATATTTATATATATATATATATATATATATATATATATATATATATATATATAAATATATATATATATTTATATATATATATATATATATATATATATATATATATATATATATATATATATATATATATATATATATATATATATTCTTGAGATCTTAATACTTTACCAAAGTATGGCTGCAATTTAATTTTTCTTGCAAGATCTCTATGTGACTGGCATTTATCTTTAAATTCTTTCTTTTTTCTACTTCCAGCTTTTTTCATAGATAAAGTCTGTTCATAATTCCCCCAAAATAAATTTTTAAAAGAAACATCATAAAATTATCGATTTAATACTTGTTTACTCATTTTAATTCAATAACAATGATAACCAATACTTATTATCAAACAACATTGCATTAGTTTCTCTGTGCAAAAAAATTTTAAAGTAAATTTTTAAAATAAATTTGCGCACTAGCAAAAAAAATTCTTTAATTCTTAAATAATTTAAATATGATTTCTGCATACAAAATAAACAAAGTTATTTAAGTGATACAAAAAAAGGGGTTCTAGTTAAAACAAATTTAAATCACCGGCGCGATGGTGTGTGTCACACACACACCATCGCGCCGGCCTTGATAGTAGGTAGACTTTCTCATCATTAGTAAACTGTGTTAAAAATAGAGCCAATGTAACAATTTAGTGTCATGGTCTTAAGAATGGCAATCTTTTAGGGCAATCTTTTTAATTGCTTTACTATGAAATGCCTAAAGCTTTCTTACTACCCGTATATCATTCACCAGTGCACCCACGGTTCATTTTCTTGTTAACAACTGAGTATACGAATGAGTAGCAAACTGTTCATAACACCCATAAAAAATTTTAAAAATATATAACAAAATTTTTTTTTTGTATTTTAGCCACAAAGTTTTACGGTGAACGCGTAAAACTTTGTGGCTAAAATACAAAAAAAAATAAATAAAGTTGGATTTAGACTTTCTTCAATAAGAAAGTCTTAATCCAACTTTATTATTCATTTATACATAGTTAATTAAATTATGCCAATATTGCTTGGGGAAGTACAGAAAAAAGTAAGTTGCAACATCTTTATCTCCGTCAGAAACGCGCAATGTGTATAACTAATTTTGCAAATCGCTTCTCTCATTCGAAGCATTATTTTATCGAGATGAGGATTCTGAATCAATTTTGTGTTATCTATCGAGCGCCAGACCTTTGGAATAAAATTGTTTTAGCGAATTTTAATTTTGAAATTTTTTTTTTTTTATTTAATATATATTTGCTGTTTATATAATAAGAAACATAATTACAAAGAAACTATTACATACAAAAAAAGTGAATTTATAAAAAACAGGCAGGGGCTCAAAGAAGATACGGATGACTAAAGTCACCACAATCTTTTCATAGAGCCCCTAGGTGGGCTTTACAAGTTAAAAAAAATAATATCTCCAATATAAATAAAGAGCTTAAAGCTTGCATATATATTTCCATTAAATCAAGAAAGTAAATAACATCATATAGTTTTATCAATATTCATTAAAATATATTGGCAACTCTGTTAAATATCAAAATAAGAGCCAATTAACAAGTAAAAAAACTAAGAATAATGGAACTCGATTTTCATTTCGAAAAATCAAGAAAACTATTTATCTAATTTAAAAATTTCCTTTTTTAATTATAAACTTAAAGGAATTTAATGATTTTACAGTATTTAAATTTTTTGTTTTTTGAAAAGTGTTCCATAGTTTTGGTCCGCGGTATGATATTTGATATTCAGAATACTTACTATTAATTCTTGGTAATTTATAAGTATTCCATTGGTTTATTCTAAGAGAATATTTTTTGTTTACATTTTTTGTAAATTTATCATTAAAGTTTTTTAGAATCAAGCTGTTGTTACATTTATACATAAAAATTAGGTGTTGGTAAATGTTGATTTCATATATATTCATCATTTTCATGTCTTCCATTAATGGTTTTGCATGTTCATATTTTTTTATATATATATAAGTCTGCATGCATGTTTTTGTAAAGAAAATATTTTTTTAAGTTTTGTTGGTTGAGTACTAGCCCATGTAATATTGGCATAGTATATGAAACAATGTATTAGGCCAAAATATACTAATTTCAGACTTTCTGATGTTACATATAGACAAATACGGTAAATCAGA